ACCAGGTATTTTCCTCTATTGCAGTGCTTTTAATTTTGTATTTCAGCTAGAGCTCTGTTCAAAACAGAACATCAGACAAAGAGCAAAATCTAAAGTGGAAATACTTTGGTGTACTTAGTCTGGTGATCCAGGTACCCCAGACAGACAGTGCAGCCAGGTTAGGGAAGCATCAGCATACAGATGGGGTCATCACAGAGCTCACTCTGCTCCCTTCTCCTGCCAGCAAACTCCCTGTATTAGGCTGAGAGCACTGGGTAATGTTCATGATCCTGATTGGCTTTGAAGGCTGTGCTAGCCTGTTGCAATCTGAGCAGATTACACACAGCTAATAATCATTCAAGTACTTATATCACCTGTATTTAATAATACATGTTATATTTTTTTATTAAAACATACTGAATTAAACAGTAAACTTTGATTATCTGCCTGGAGCTCAGCTCTAAACCTCAAACTTCATTGTAAAGTCCATTGACCAAAGAGTTGGACTTGGTCTTCTTCCATAAATTACTTTTAATATGCCTACATACAGAAAGAGATGCTTTTGATTAACTCAAGTGAAGTCAGTGCCTTCATTACCATGCAACAATTGGTTTGTGAATGTGAAGGGAAAGTCTGCCAATTGTAATACACTGAGAAAAGGGTACAAGACATTATTTGGTGGCTTTGGAAACTTCTACCATTGTAAATGTGGTCTATTCACAGACGGAAACAGACCAAAACATATCAATAGGATGCTTGTAGAGTGATATACAGTATGTGGATATTAGGTAAGCAAAGGATTGTATGAAAATGTATGACAGAATAGAACAGACAAAGGTTATTTGAGTTCCTTCTTCACCTGTAAATATATGTGTGTGACTGGACTGTATGTAGAACTAGGGTTGCCACCTGTCCAGGATTCACCCGGACAGTCCGGGTTTTGAATCCTGTGTCCGGGTTTCAAGGCAGCAGAAACCCGGACACATGTTGTCAGGCAGACAGGGGCAACCAAAATTAAGATAGGGGCTACTGGCGCCCCACTGAAAATAGTCCCAGCTGTGATATTTACATATGAATGGGTGGAGCTATTTACATATGAATAAGCCGCGACTCATTCTCCCCCAAAAAAATGTCTGCACGCCGCTAGAGTGTGTTCGGGGTTTATCTGAAAGAAAAGGTGACAACCCTATGTAGAACACAAGTTTAAAAGTGCCACTTCCATACGTACATTGTAAACAAGTGTTTCCTACAGTTATCTCAATATGTATGATATACACTTCATTGGTAAGTAATATAGGTATAATATAGAACTGGCATGGATTTCTCAAGAAAGAACAGCGTCTGTCACTGAATATGATGAATTGTTTGCAATGTGCTTGTTCAGTCTTCCAGAAAAGTCAGCTCACCATGAAATTGCATTGAATAAAACATCATTTTTTCGTACCTAATCATTTTTGTTTGTGTTTTTAAATTCATATCAAATATCCGTGTTTTATGCTGAGGAACCTCTATAGGTGTTCAGTAACTCAAAACAACCAATCAGATTTCAGTTTATTGAACTCAGACCTGTGAGTTCTGGTTGGCTGCAGCTTTCTGTTTTGTGTAGGTGAATAGGCCTGTATGTTTTTCTTCTCCTTAGTTCTTAGATTGTCCAACCCACAGTTTCTTTAATACCACCACAGAACACATGCAGTAAAGTCAGCTTCCATCATTTATAGACTACTAGTGCTCTTTAAGTTTGCCCATCCATGTGGGATTGAAGAGGCGGCCGATTATTGCAAATAAAGAGATCGAGTTTGGGATATAATCGTTGCACACTATGAGGATATATTGAATATGACTTTTTTGACAAAAGGATTCCTTTAATGAAAGAAAAGTAAATCCATCTTCTTTTCCTTCTAAGAAACACCTGGTGGGTGTATGGACAGATATGTTGTAGCAGTAGAGGTATTACTATTATGTCATTATAGTGAAACCATTTCACCTGTGCACCTGATACTTACCATGTCACATATATGTTCAACAAGAGTATAAGATTTAAAGCACTATGCACTTATGAGAGTGGAATTGTGGATTAGCACATTTGCATTTATACACGTGCATCTATAGTTGGGACATAGATACAAATTTATAGTTTGTTGCACAGATTTTTCACTTTCATTTTTTGAATTGTTGATCTTAACCGGACTCATTAGCATGAGATAATTTCGCTTATTACGTTTATTTATATACACTTTGACTGAGCGCTACAAAAATTAGCACCATTATACCCGAAGAAAATGATTCTTGAAGCGGACCTTTAAAATAAAATAATAAAAGATGAGGTTACAACGAGTAAATAGGTACCCAACATGCCCAGGTTAAAAATTGTGTGCGTCCGTGAAACGGCAACAAACGTCAGTACCCCATAAATAACTCTTTAAAAGCCCCACAGGTCAACAGTTTAGAGATACCCAAAAATACTGGCCCTAGAATTATTGCCCTCACTCCGGTTCACGGCGATACCCAACATGTGTAGCGTGATCGTCGTTTTCATACGTAGGCGTTCCCGACGCGTGTTTATGCGAAGAGGTGCATGCTCACAGGGACGGGAGACTTTAAACATTTTTTTTATTATTTTTACATTTATTTTATTTTATATTTTTTATTTTAATTGACACCTATCGGCCTTCTCCCCCCCCCCCCCCCCCCACGTGGAACCACCACAGTT